CCATTGTTACATAACAAAATTAACATTAAACCAGAGGCTTAGAACACCCACATTCACAGCTCTGTGAACCAGTGGACCGGGATCTCCTCTCAGAGTCTTGTCAGGCTGGAACCCAGGCAAAGGCCAGTCTGCATTTCATGCTGGAGGCTCAAGGAAAAAACCGGCTCTAAACTCAGCTGGCTGACAGCATTCAGCTCCTTGTGGTTGTAGGACTGAGGTCCATCTGTTATCTGAGTAGCTGCTGGTTGCTCTCAGATTTTTTTTTGTCTTCTTTGAGGCAGGGTCTCCCTGTAGCCCCAACTGGCCTGGAACTCACTATGTAGACCAGGCTGGTCTTGAACTCACAGAGATCCGCCTGCTTCTGCCTAGGGAGTGATGGGATTAAAGGTGTCCACCACACCCAGCTGCTCTCAGATTTTTAAAAACAATAACTTTTTTATTGCATTTATTATTTAATGTTGGGTTGGGGGTGGCAAGAGCGCCACAGGCTTGTATAGCAAGCAGTTTGCTGAGCCATCTCTTCCCTGCCCCCCCCCCCACCCCTTTTTGTTTGAGACAAAAATCTCACTAAGTAGCCCTGGCTGTCCTGGAACTAACTATATAGACCAAGATGGCCTGAACTCACAGAAATTCACCTGCCCTTGCCTCCAAATGCTGGGATTAAGGGCATGTGCCACCAAACTTGGCACCACCTCCTCTGTGTTTAAAGTCACCTATTTAACTGGGCACAAGCCTGACAACCTGAGTTCAATCCTCAGATCCCACAGTGGAAGGAGAGTTAACTCCTGAAAGTTGTCCTGTGACCTCCATATGCATGTGCCCACACTCACATACAATAGCAATTAAAAAAAAAAAAAAGGGCATCTTGAGGATATCATGGAATTCTGCCCACTGTGGTCAGTCCTTTATTTATCTACCGATCACATTCCTATGGAATTCCTGCTCTGTGCCAGGCACAGTTCGAAGAGTGGGTGACATAAAAATGAACAAAACCATCTCGGTCCTGAAAAGTTTGCCATCCAGTCACTAAGGAAGCAAGGAAAACTATCAACTAATAGACAGCATTCTGCAGAAAATTAAACCAGGGATGTAGAAGGAAAAAGGGGAAAGGGAGCAGGAAAGAATGACTACACCAAAGCACAATTGATATATACTAACAAAGTCTAAACTTAAAAAAATAAACCAGGATGGTCTTCAGGTTTATATTGGGGTGCCAGGATAGGGCTCTCTGAACAGGTACCATTTAAACTTCTCTGAGAGTCTAATACAATGTGAAATCTCCACAAAGATTATCTCTACCTCTGCAGCATCAAAGCCCACACCCTGTGGCTCTACATTTCCTTGTAATCATGTTTGACATGTTTAGCAGAGAAGCTTGTTTTCAAACCACACCCCAAACCACTATGCGGTGCCTGACTCTAAGTTGTTAGCCTCATGGTTTGGGTGGCATTGGACATAATCTCCTGAATCTCCAAGTAGGAGCTGGGTTTCACAGCCCACCAACAACAGTGATCTGCTTGGTAGAGGCATAGTATGTTCCCATCTGCCCTGGCTGTATCCCTGTTGAAGAGTTCAACTTCAGTTAGCCTGTGTCCCTGTTGAAGAGTTCAACCTCAGTTGGCCTGGGTGAAGGATGCAAGCTGGAAGGCTTTGGATCTTGTTATTTTGCAGGTGGAATAATCAAGGTGCTCCTAAACACACACAGAACAAACATTGAGTACTGACAGTGTGCCAGACACTATCTGCACAAAATGACAGGCTGTTCCAGTCACCACCTTCAGGAGACTTCCAGTGTCATACAGAAGATCAATGTGAAAATGGGTAATCATAATTTAGGGTCTCTGTCTCCCCAGGTGACCTGAAACTCACTATGAAGACAGGCTGTGGGATTAAAGGAGTGTACCACCAGGCCCAGCCCCATGAGATCTCATGTTCTATTAAAGTCAGAAAAACAAAAATAACAAGAAGTTTGAACTAAGCATGGTGGTGCATGTTGGTAGCTCTAGGTTAAGGCAGGAGGACTGAAAGTTCAAGGCCAGCCTGGGGTACATAGTAAGACAAAACAGAAAACAACAAAAAAATAAATAGACCATCCCTCCCTAAACCACTCCTTACATGCATTAGAGAATTTATCTTAGGTAGTACAAAAGTAACATGGAAGGAAAAAAGTCTTCATTGGCTTTCACCTTGCCTACAGTGGTTTCCAACATATATTCAAGTTGTCTGTTATCTACTAAATAAGCACAAATCAGCAGCAAGTAATTATGCTTTTTCCTGGTCCAATTAGATGCTATCTGAACCCTCATTGTACACTCATCTATTTTTACCAGGGAATTACTAACTCTTTGAAAAGGGGCACTGGGCATCTTTTCACCCCATCGTCAGCACTCAACATCAGGCTGCTAGCTGGCACCAACTACCTCTTGGTGGAATGTATTTACCCTGGTAATTGACATTATGCCTTTCATTCACAAAAAGGGTAGCAGACTCTAAAATTTTGAGATGGTATCTCATATGTTGCCCAGCAGGTCCTGAACTCCTGGGATGGAGCATTCCTCCTGCCTCAGCCTTTGAGTAGCTGAGACCACAGGTACCAGTCACTGAGTGCAGTCTTTGATTAATTGTACTTAATGTATTTAAATGATCACTGGCTGTTATATTACCAGTGCTTCATATAACTTAAATAATTAGAAAGGGAAAAGGATCAAGGAAGGAGATCTGACTTCACTTCGCTTCTTAAAATTCTTCTAGTGTTCATTTGACTGGGTCTACCAAGTGGGTAATGATAAATGAGTTCACTTTATGCTTTTTTTTTTTGAGACAGGTTTTACTATGTAGGTCTAACTGGCCTGGGACTAGCCATGTAGACCAGGCTTTTAAGGCTAGGGTGCTGGAATTAAAGGTATGCATCACCATGCCTCTAAAATTTTTTTTTATTATTTTTATTTTATGTGTATGAGTGTTATGCCTGCATGTAGGTAAGTGCACCCGTGTCATGCGATGCCCACGAGGACAGAAGAGGCTGTAGGATCCCCTGGAAGTGGAGTTACGGACAGTTGTTAGCTGCCATGTGGGTGCTGGGATTTGAACCCGGGTCTTCTGCAAGAACAACCAGTGTTCTTAACCGCTGAGCCATCTCTCCAGCCCCCACATGCCTTTAAAGCACCCGGCCCATTTTGTCTTCCTTTGATATAACAGAAAGTCAGAATTTCCTGTAGGCCTTTCTGATACTCTGGCCAGGGTTCTGTCTTATTTTATTCTGTTGCCATCTTTCTTATAGCCTACTAATCTCTGTGAAGTAAACTGCATGAACGCATTATTTGCTCTTTATGCTTGGCTCTTTAATTTTGACTTAATTATAACATACACAAAAGTCCCTTGATCCTGCCCATAAAACATTTCCTGAAGCTTCTTAGCACTTGCTGTTGCTTTTACACCAGTCCTCTTTGATTTTGTGAGGTGGGAGAGGAAGCTCATGCATCTAGCACAGTCTAAGCATTTTGGAGGCGGAGCTCTTGAAAATAATTGGAAAATAGCCTTAAATTTCTTTCTTTTTTTTTTTTTTTAGCTAGGCGTGGTGGTGACTTTAATCCCAAGACGCAGAGCCAGGTAGATTTTTGTGAGTTCCAAACCAGCCTGGTTTACATAGGCCAGCTGTGGCTGTCTCAAAACACACACACACACACACACACACACACAAACACCCCCACCCCAGCCCACCAACAAAAAAAGAAACTGCTTTTTTTTTGCCCATGTCTATGTTAAATGGCAAACCTCATTGGGGAGGCAGGAATTAAATTTCCTTTTGTGGAATGTACTGTGGTTTCCTCATTCACTATATGGGATCTCCTCATTAATTCACATATACCATCTAACACTGTAAAACGTGTAATAAACTTGCAATAATTTATTCCACTGTTGTTGTCTCAATTTCCTTCTGAACTTGTGTGGTACTACGGTTGAGTCTAGAGCCTTGTGCATACTAAGGCAGAGGGCTCTACACTGTATACACCCTCAGCCCTTAACTCACGCTAACTTCCTACCAAGGGCTTGAGAATTTGACTCAGTTTAAATGGCTTTCAAGCTCTAAGTACAGTAATTAACCTGTGAACATTAAAACTGTTGATCAGCAGTAAGACAGGACCTGTAATAATCTTTTCCCCCACCAACACACATTTCTTCTTTTGTGACATGTGCTATATGAAAAAGCTCAACACTCAAACATGCAAGTCCGCCCTATACCAGGCGGCTCCGCCCCTCCTCGCCCTCTCCTCTTTTAAAAAACATTTTATTTTTAATGTGTATGAATGTATTGTCTGCTTGCGTGTTAGTGCACCAGTGTCATGCAATGCCCACGGAGGTCAGAAGAGAGCATAGGATCCCCTGGAACTGGAGTTACGGACGGTTGTTAGCCGCCATGTGGGTGCTGGAAACCAAACCTGGGTCCTCTGCAAGAGCAGCCAGTAATTTTAACCGCTGGGCCCTCTCTCCAGCTCCTTCTGAATCTTTGTGACACTTCCCCATATAACCAAGTTAACCCTGCTCATTCGCATGCTCCGGCCCCACGCTGGTGGGACATGTGACTGGCGCACTACTTCCCGGCAGAGGGCATCACCAGCCGGTACTAGCTACTCAGTACTCCTGCTAAGTCAACTCAGCCTTTCCACTTAGCCAGGAGACGGAATAGACCTTATTGAATTCGGCCTGACTCGAGTTGAGAATGGCTCGGTGTACACGCTGGCGTATTCCCGGGGCAGATCTGACTGCAAGCTCACCTTTCCCAACCCACGCGCGCAGCAGGAGAGCGGACTTGACTAAAGTCTCCCTAACGTCTCCCACGCGGACCGCGGAGAAGCGTCCAGGACCCCACGGCGCCACGTCAGCCTGCGTGCATGACGGCAGCGCGCCTGCGCTCGGAGCGGGGAGGAGCATGCGCAGAGGCCCTCCCCCTACATCCGGGGTTCGGCCGCGGCGCTGGCGCCGCGCGGGGGTCACGTGGCTCCTTCTTTTCCGTCTCTGGCCGGCTGGGCGCGGGCGAGTGCAGGCGCGGCGTGTGGACGCTCGCGCTGGTTCCCCTTCGCCTCCTCTCCCGGCCCGGGCCCTGGGGAGTTCGCTGACGCCGGGTGAGCTGCGCCTGCCGCCAAGATGCCGGCCTATTTCCAGAGGCCCGAGAATGCCCTCAAGCGTGCCAACGGTGAGTCCAAAGCGGGCGCCCCGCCGGCCCACGGCCTGTTAGTGTTGCGAGGTCGACGGTCCCGGCCTCCTGCCCGCCTCCCGGTGCGCGCTCTGCGGAGGCTGGTGAAGCCAGGCCCCGGGTCCGGGCACTGCTTCCCCTGGCGCTACCGCCGGCCACGGTACGAGGCGCGGGTCGGGAACCGTCGCCCGGGCTGGGCCTGCCTTCCTCGCCGCCTTCGGGTGCTTGCGGTGCTGAGCCGCGGGCGCGGAGACTAGGCCTGCCCAGCCCCAGGGCCTCCGGACGGCTGTCCAGACCGTCGGGCTGCGGGCTGCTTCCGAGGCTCCGCACTCCGGGCCGCCATCTGGGAGTGCCGGGGAGGAGGAAACATGGCTCCCTCCCGGGGACAATACACGCGAGAGCCTCGGCTCCACCTCCCGCCGGGGCCCGGAGCCAGGCAGGACCGTCCCCGCCCTGCCTCCAGCACCTCTGGCCCCGGGGCCCACCCCGAGCCCTGCTGGGTCAGGGTCCACGCGTCCTGCAACCTAGTCCCTAGCGTGCACTTCGGGTCTCTGACCCAATTTAGCCTGTTTCCTGTAGATTTTTTTTTCTCCCCGGTATTGATTAGGGTCAGTTCGAAGGCCTATTCTGAATACGAGAAGTTGGGACAGTTAATATTCCATGGGGATTTTAGGTCTCTCCAAACAGACCTCTTAAAGAGTGGTTTCCCCAAGGTCACTCGGGGAGTATGTTGAGTCAGGAGAGGAAAACCAAGGTCTCTAGACATCCTGGTCGGTCTTTTTTTTCTAACCGCAACGCCACTGCCTGCTGTTTCTATGTTTGTGTTTTTAAGCCCTGGGTGCTTGCCGTAAAGACTGTGCCTTGATCGCTTTAGTTTGACATTGAGTGGTGAAAATGTCTTATGCACAGCTCTGAGTCTAAAAAGTTGCTTTTTGCCCGGCGTGGTGGTGCACGCTTTTAATTCCAGCACTTGGGAGGCAGAGGCAGGCGGCGGATCTTTGTGAGTTCAAGGCCAGCCTGGTCTACATAGTGAGTTCCAGGACAGCTGGGGCTACAGGGAGACCCTCTGTCAAAAAGACCGAAAAAAAAAAAAAAGTTGTCTTTTTTTCCCCAAAGTATTTCGGAGGCATCTATAGCTCTTTTGGGGGAGGGTGATTTTCCAATATCCAAATAGATAGAGGTAACCATGTGTGTTACCGGTTTATATTTGGGGAGCTGCTTAGAAGTCGAAGTTTCACTCTGTGAAAGGGCCGTTTGAGTCACAATTTAAAAACTGATACTACTGGCTATCAGTCAAGACTAAAAATAATATTGTTTGCATACTTCTAAAAAATACAGTTTTTGCGAGGAGGGACCAAGTCTGGAAGAGGCTAATTATATATTCTGTAGAGTGCAGTAATTGTGTTGGAACTTAACAAAGCTGCAATATGGAGCTGATCACTACCTATACTAACCTAATACAAACTTATTGTTACAGTTTAAACTGTAGCAAAGTTGTTACTTTTTGATGTTTGAATCTTAGAATTCCATTGCAGTACACAGAATGAATTTCATGAATTTACTTGGCATAGCTGTCGAGATGTGTTTTAGTTAACTGTGTGATCACCAGCAAGCATTTTTTCCCAAAGTAGTAGGCTTGATGCATGGCAGCCTCAGTGGCCTACATAGTAACATATAGTAACATATTGGTGTGTTCTGACCTTGTCTCCTCAGTGCTCCTGTTTGGAATCTTTATATGAACTCAGTATTTCAGCAACTTTTTAAAAGTAGGAAGGTTATATAATGTGTTTTACATCCCCACCCCACAGTTTCTAAGTTGAAATAGACTTGATGAGACTTGAGACTAGCAAGTATCAATAAAGTAGGAAAGACCAGGAAGGTAGGGTACTGTGGGGTAATTTGGATCCTGTTCGTGTAATTTTCAAAAAGGTGGATCGATGTGTAATGTTTGTAACCCCAGGCATTTGTAGACCTAATCTGCATTATTTTAATAAAATTAAATAGAATAGTCCCTCAGGTCACCCTAAGCTTGTATACCACAGTGATAATTTTGGAAAAAATTATAATAGAAACATGGGACTTTAGCCTAGCACTACATGCATGAAAGTCATATCACAAAATAGTGGGTTTTTTTTGGTCTTTTTGAGACAAAGTCTCCCTGTCGCCCCAGCTGGCCTGGAACTCTTATGTAGACCAGGCTGGCCTCCACCTGCTTCTGCCTGTTGCTTCTGAGTCTTAAGCCTTAATTTTACACTCTACAACCAGTGCCTTAAAAACAAAGCTGCTATGAAACCCCACAAACTGAATAATATCATAGTTTATTTAATCTGGTGGTGCACAAATTAGTAAAAATGAAGGTTTGCTATAAACCTTGTCTTCACTGGTAGTTACATAGTTTAGTTATGTCCTAAAGGTAAGTTTAGAATGTACATTTTCCTAGTAATAATCAATTTCAATAGTCTTTAATCTAGAAACCAACATTTAAGTATTGAAGTGATAATGCTGTCTGGGGAGCTTCAAAACCTCCCTATCCCCATTAATTAGGTTATTGAAAGAAACTAAGTCTCTGAATTAGAGTAAGAACAGGGCCACTCACCATCAGGTAAATCTGTTTCCCAGCCAGTTTTTTTTAACACCTGTTACTGTCAAATGTTTTCTTCTCTTTTCTGTTAATATTTGGTGGGGGTGAGGGTGTCCCATAAACTAAAATTTTTTTTTTTTTTTCGGTCTTTTTTGAGACAGGGTCTCCCTGTAGCCCCAGCTGTCCTGGAACTATGTAGACCAGGCTGGCCTTGAACTCACAGAGATCAGCCTGCCTCTGCCTCCCAAGTGCTGGGATTAAAGGCATGTGTCACCATGCCTGGCCCATAAACTAAATTTATGTTTAAATTTTTTTTTTTTTTTTTAGACTAAGAAGTATGAGATTTGGATTTAGATTTTGACTGGACTTTTAGAAAGTGCAAAGTGCTTTAAACTCTAGCTTTGAGTTTATATTATGTTTGTTTTTTAGGGCTTTTTTTTTTTTTTTTTTTGAGTTTGCTAGGAAGCCCCCTGCAGTGCTAATGGCACAGATGTGACCCCACCTCCTCAAGGTCCTGATCAAGACTTTTAAGAATGACATTAATGGAAGCAACATTCCTGTTTAAACATAGTGGATGATGCTTATCACCTTTTTTGAAGGGCTCAGCTCTCACTTTAAAAACCCTTTTTTTGTATTTTGTTATTTTATTATGGGTTCAGCTCTCACTTTAACTTGATCTTATTCTGTGTTGCAAATGTGTATTATATAATAGTTTAAGATTTTAATCCTTAAAAATTGGGGTTGGGCATACAAAGTTATTTTAATGTTGCTGTGGTTTACTTTTAAAAATTTTAAAATTGGGACTGGAGAGATGGTTTAGCGGTTAAGAACACTGGTCTTGCAGAAGACCCGGCTTTGAATCCCAGCACCCACATGGCAGTTAACAACTGTCTGTAACTCCTGGGATCCAACAGCCTCTCTGTCCTCTGCAGGCATTGCATGACATGGGTGCACTTACCTGCATGCAGGCAATACACAAATACCCATAAAATAAAAATAATAACATTTAAAAAAATTTAAAAAATTTATTTTATGTGTATGAGTGTTTTGCCTGTATGTATGTAAGTTTATCACATGTGGGCAAACCCTTAGAGACCAGAGGGTGTTTGATCCCCTTGGAATTAGAATTACAGAAGGTTGTTAGCTGCCTTGTAGGTGCTGGGAACTGCACCAGAGTCCTGTAAGGAGGGTCTTAACAGTTGAACTATCTCTCCAGCTCCTACTGTGTTTTCTTAACGTAAGGGATAAGTGCATGTATTGCTAAATTTTTTTGCTAATAGGGACTTTTAATAACATTGTTTTGAAAGACATCTAAAAGTACTGATTGCCTTGGAACATGGGAAATAAACTTAGTCACAGTTAGGAAGAGGATAGCACTTAAAACAGGGAAAGCTTTTCCTTCCAATAAAGAATCTAGGTGTGCTTCCTTGTTTCATTTAGTAAGTTTTTCCCTCCCTGTAAACATGGCTCAAGTGAAGATCCTTGAGGATTTTGTTTGTCAGCATATGATACTGGGGTTGTAGCTTAGCCTGGCCTGCCCAAGGCAAGGCCCTAGGTTTGGTTTCCAACACTGGAGGGAAAACATAGCTGAAGAACGTTGTTGGTACTTTGAGGTGTCATAATGTAAAGATAACTTGTTTCTTGGTATGTTGTGATTTGTTCAGCTGTAAACTTGGTGTTTTGGAGAGTTAGAACCTTGTAGTTTTGTTGGAAGAAGAAATGTTGGGAAGCATTATTCCTGAAAATTGAAAGAAAAAGAACCACCAAACTTAAAGATGTAGTAAAACTCCCAAATAAGGGGCTTTTATTTGGATATTACTTGCTGAAAATAGAGTTATTTGGTAGCTAATTATAGTTATTTGGTACATTAAAAGATCTCCTGGTGCATGTTGGGTGTGGTGGCTCTGAGTTCAAGGCCAGCTTGGTCTACAGGGAGTTCCAGGACAGCTGGAGCTACAGGGAGACCCTGTCTCAAAAAGACCAAATACCCCCTTCCCCCCACCAAAAAAAGAAAAACCCTTGAGACTGAACCTGGATTTTGAAATGTTTCTCCATCACACATCCCTTTTGACTTGGTAAAGTCAAAAGTTACTTTGTCTATAGTCTCTTTAGTTTTTAAAAATGAGTATTTTATTTACAATATTTTATTTTTAATTTTATGTGTGTGTGTGTATTGCCTGCATGTGTGTGTCTCTGCACTCATGTTGTTCATGCCCTCGGATGACAGAAGAAGACTTTTGATGCCCTGGAACTGGAATCATGGTCGATTGTTAGTGGCCGTGAAGGTGCTGGGATTTGAACCCGGGTCTTCTGCAAGGACAGTGCTCTTAACCGCTGAGCCATCTCTCCAGCCCCCCCAAAATAAATAAAAGTTTAAAGAACAATTTGAATTTCACAGCATCATTCAAATATAGCACAGTTGTACAGTTTTCACTATACCTAGTTGCCCCATTAATGAACAGCTTAAATTGGTACAATACTAACTCAGCTGTCAGGCCAACAACTGACACGTAAGTCTTCACTGTTTCAGTTTCCCTACTTTCCCTTGTCCTTTTTGTCCTAGGGTCCTATTCACAACACCACATCATGTTTTAATTGTTGTGTCTCTTTTTTAAAGGACAGGGTCTTCCTGTAGCTCCAACTGACCAGGAACTCACTATGTAGACCACCAGGCTGGCCAGTATCTCACCAAGATCTGCCTGCCTCTGCCTGCAGAGTGCTAGGATTAAAGGCATGTGCCGCCATGCCTGGGAAATTGTCATAGGTCTTTTAAGTCTCTTCTTGGTTGGTGGAGTTTCTCAGAGTTTGGTAATTTTTTTTTATCACCTTGACAGTTTTGAGAAGGATTTGTCATTTATTTTATAGAGTCTCTTTTTATTAAATTTTTTGGTCTTTCTGAGAATGGTCTCCCTGTAGCCCTGCTGGCCTGGAACTCACTATGTAGACCAGGCTGGCCTTGAACTTAGAGATACCCCTGCCTTTGCCTCCAGAGTGCAGGGATTAAAGGTGGCCTGGCTAGAATGTCCTTTTAGTCAATGCTTTTGCAACAAAATACAACAACCTGGGGACTTTCAACAACAGGAATTTACTTCTCATATGTCTGGAGGCTGAAAAGTTCAGGATCTCTAGATGTCAGCAGATTGAGTAGAGGGCTGGTTGCCTCTGCCTTGTCACTGCCTCTGAAGGGGATCGATGTGTCCTTTGGAAGAGGTAGGCTGACAAAAAATGGACTAGCTAATTCTTTCTATAAATGCCACTTGTTCCATTTGTGAGGGTGGAGTCCTTAAGGGCGCCCCTCTTAATAGTATTCTGGTAGGGAATGTCAATTTGAATTTTGGAGTGCTGCATATTCCAACTACTGCATTCTAATTGGGATTGTCTTAATACTTGCTTTAAAATTACACTTTCTTTCCTTTTTTAAAATTGCTTTTTTGGGGCTGGAGAGATGGCTTGGTGCTTAAGAGCACTTGCTCTTGCAGAGGACCCAGGTTTTGTTACCAGCACCTAGGTAGGTCCAGCCCACAACTTCCCGGAACTCTAGTTTCAGGGGATCTGATGCCCCTTTCTGGCATCTGTAGGCACCTGCATGAATATGGTGCACATAGAAACACTCAGGAACACACAACTACACAAAATGAAATAATCTTTTTTTTGTAATTTTATCCTGTTGCTGAGGGCTGATTTTACATTTTATCATACCCCTATTACCTTCTCATGACCCCCTTCCCACTGAACTCCTTCATCTACTTCCTCTTCTACTTCCATGACTTGTTTTATTCAAATCATGACCCCTTGAGTTTAATTAGGGTTGTTAAAGTGACATGGGTTGGTGGGCTTCCTTTCTTATTGGAGCGTGAACACTTAACCTGTGGCAGCTCCACTGCAGAAAGCATCCCCCTCCCTGTCTTAATGTTTTCCTCATGTTTAGATCGGAAGAAATAAGCAGAGATAATGTTCATGGATTGTGAGACTTGCTTATTGCCATCACATCTTCAAACTCTTAATCTATAGATTTAGTGTGATCCCAGTTAAAAACCTATCAAGTTATTTTGTGGATGCCTACCAAATAGCTGTAAAATTTATATGGAAAAGCAGAAGGCCGAGGTGTGACCACAGATACTAAAGGACAAAACCAGAGCACTTACTGTCCAGTTCTAAGGATTCACTGTATGTGTTTTGGCAAAAGACTATGTTAATTTAGAAGAGATGGAATGCAGAGACTAAAAATAAACCCACTTAAACTGTAGTCAGCTGACTTTAAAATAGTAAGACTAAAGTTTTTTTTTCTTTTAACTTCATCATAGTTTAGCAGAAATTTCAGTAGTCATATCATTGTGATGAAATCATACTTGAATTTTTAGTTACTGGGCAAGATTTACCATGTATGATTTCAGTTTCTGAAATTTTAAAATCAGAACTGATTGATGTCTTGTATAATTATTGGGTGGCTTTTAGAAGTCAAAAACAAACATGACTATAAAGTTGGTAATGAAATAAGAAAATAAGAAAAACAACCAGTAAAGAAGCAAGGTTTTTATTTTTGGGGAAGAGTAGCCCCATGTCTGGAACCAGCTGTAGACCAGGCTGCCAGCACTGGGATTAAAGGCTTATGCTACCATGCTCTAAGATTTAGATTATATTTTTATTTTATTTTATTTTATTTATTTTATTTTATTTTATTTTTGGTCTTTTTGAGACAGGGTCTCTCTGTAGCTGCAGCTGTCCTGGAACTCAGTATGTAGACCAGGCTGGCCTTGAACTCACAAAGATCCACCTGCCTCTGCCTCCCAAGTGCTGGGATTAAAGCCACCAAGCCTGGCTTGTTTTTATTTTTTATGTGTGTTAGTGTGTTGCCTATGTGGCATGTAACTGTACCTGTGTCTTGCAATAGCCGTAGAGGTCAGAAGAGGGTGTCGGATCCCCTGGAATTGGAGTTATGGATGATTGCTAGCTGCTATGTGGGTGCTGGGAATCCAACGCAGGTCCTCTGTAAGAGCAGCAAGTGCTCTTGAAACTCTGAGCCATCTCTCCAGCCCCAAAGATTAGAATTTTAAAAAATTCGACATTTATTTATGTGAGGGTGTGGGCATATGTCACACTGAGCATGTGGAGGTCAGAGGACAGCTTGAGAGTGGGTTGTCTCCTACCATGTGTGTTCCAGGGATAGGTTGTCAAGTTTGGTGGCAAAGTCTTTACCAACTGAGCCATCTTCCCTCGAAAGATTTAGATTGTTATATAATATGCACAGCTGATTTTAATTTTCTTTTTTTTTTTTTTCAGAATTTCTTGAGGTTGGCAAAAAACAGCCTGCGCTGGATGTTCTTTATGATGTTATGAAAAGTAAGAAACACAGAACATGGCAGAAGATACATGAGCCAATTATGTTGAAATACTTGGAACTTTGTGTGGACCTTCGTAAGAGCCACTTGGCTAAGGAAGGCTTATATCAGTATAAGAACATTTGTCAACAGGTATAGAGCTTGGTTTTACTTTTAAAGTGATTTTAGTAATTTTTGGAAAAGTTTACCTTTCAAAGTAAAAATATTTTTGCATTATAAGATTTGCTTTTCAAACATTTTATGGTTCGTTGGAAATACACTTTTTCCTTCCTACTTAGGTAAACATTAAGTCTTTAGAAGATGTTGTAAGGGCTTATTTGAAATTGGCAGAGGAAAAAACTGAGGCTGCCAAAGAAGAATCCCAACAAATGGTCCTAGATATAGAAGATCTGGATAACATTCAAACTCCTGAGAGGTGAGTTTAAACCCCTAGTATTTTGATAGTTAGCTGAGTGTTCTTCACCTGAGTCTCCACCATCCCCACCTGAGGTAGCTGATTATTAGGAAAAAATGCTTATCTTTGCAGTTTAAAATGTGTGCTACACCAACTATGTAAGATTTAAAAATCTACAAAAGTGGAACATGAACACCATGGGATAGAATATAAACAGCTGTTAATAATAGAGACGGAGCATTCAGACACAGATGGTTAGGGACAGCTTTTGCAGTGTGTATGTTGTAGGAAGAATTCCTGTTTCATGGTGGCCATTGTTTGGACTTTTTGCTCAGAGGGTAAGTAGGACACATGTCTAAAGTTGTTGTCAATGTGCTTTTCTTTTTAGTGTTCTCCTAAGTGCTGTAAGTGGGGAAGACACCCAGGATCGAACTGACAGATTACTTTTGACTCCCTGGGTTAAGTTCCTGTGGGAATCCTACAGGCAGTGTTTGGACCTTCTTCGAAACAATTCTAGAGTAGAGCGCCTTTACCATGATATTGCCCAACAAGGTAACATGACAGTGTGAAATGTCAGTAAACAGATGTGAAGAGTTGACTTTAGAATAGATCTTTGTAGACTAACTTCCTTTTCTTTAGTATTTAAAAAACCAAACTAGTTTTACCCTTATTGAAATGATTGATCTTTATTACATAAACAGCTAAAAAAAAAAATCTGTATTATCAGTTAAGGTATTTCCATATGAAATTATTCAATTGAGTCCTAAAACCCACCTCTCCCACTACCTCACCCTCACTTTGTCTTGGTCATTTCTACCCCCAAATAACAGATAGTTTCTGTATTTCCATGTCACATGTATTTTGTCACTCTCCCCAGCTTTAAGATCTCTTCCTTTCTACTTTGAAAACCTAAACACAACGCATGAGAAACACTAGTGCAGAAAAAGAGATCTTTTAAAAATTTTTGGAAAATTTTCTAGGTGACTGAAAGACATGATTGTTTGATTTTTATTTTTATTTATTTATTTTGAGACAGAGTCTTACTGTCTAATCCTGACTGGCCTGGAACTTGCTATTTAGACCAGACTGACCTCAAACTCACAGAAATCTGCCTACCTCTGCATCCTGAATGCAGGGATTAAAGGCCTGTGACACCACCCTCAGTTCATGATGTTTTTTCCTTTATTTTTAAATTTTATGCGTATGAGTGTATTGCCTGCATGTAGGTAAGTGCACCTGTGTCGTGCAATGCCCGCCCAGGACAGAAGAGGCTGTCAGTTCCCTGGAACTAGACTTACAGACAGTTGTTGTCATGTGGGTGCTGGGATTCGAATCTGGGTCTTCTGTAAGAACAGCCAGTGTTCTTAACTGCTGAGCCATCTCTCCAGCCCAGCCCCTCTTTTTTTTTTTTTTTTTTTTTTAAATTATGCCTGGCGTGGTGGTAGTACACGCCTTTAATCCCACTACTCAGGAGCCAGAGGCAGGTGGATCTCCGTGAGTTCAAGGCCAGCCTGGTCTACATAGTGAGTTCCAGGACAGCTGGGGCTACAGGGAGACCCTGTCTCAAAAAGACCCCCCAAAAATTATTTTATGTGTATAGGTGTATTGCCTGCAGGTGTGTAAGTACACCTGTGTTGTGCAGTGCCTGTGGAGGTCAGATCCCCTGGAACTGGAGTTAGGAACAGTTGTTAGCTTGGGTGCTGGGAATCAAGGTGCTGGGAATCAAACCTGAGTTCTCTGCAAGAGCAGTCCATGATCTTAACCACTGAGCCATCTCTCCAGCCTGTATTTCCCATTCTTGAGCAGTATTACCCAATGTAGAATTAGGCCTTGATGACTTGAGGATCACTTCATATTTGGTGGTTTCTCCGCATATACTTATTCTGAAGGAATATATTAAAGTATTTTTTGCTGCAGTGAATGTGAGCATAGCTCAGGTCATGTTGACCTTGAACTTCTGTTCCTCGTTTTGTCTCTGCGTTGTGCCTTTTAGTGATGGACCAAGTAGTTCATAAGACTTTCAGTATCTACAGTTGAGATTAGGTTACTGCAAATCCTAGGCTTTAGCTTTAATCAGTACAAAAGCTTGTTGCATTTTGTGTACATTAGGTATGTAAATTCATTCTCTTTTAGCTTAGAATTTTTGCTCTTTTAGGATTTGAAGTGTTAGGTCCTTTTCCTAAATCTAAACTCCCATTCATTTCTCATGTATAAATTTCTAGAACCATGTCTTAGGCTAGGACTGATGACTATGTCTTTTTGGTTTGGTCAGGATTCAGCCTGGTAATATGGCTACATGGAAGGAGCTAAGGCATTCTCATACTCATATATAATGAGGAGCTTGGTGAATCGTGTTATAATAAGTGATCTTTATGTGAAATGGAACCTATTCAAATATTTCACAGAAGGTACCTAATTTTTTATTTGACAATTATTCTTGCAGCTTTCAAATTCTGCCTACAATATACTCGTAAGGCTGAGTTCCGTAAACTCTGTGACAATTTGCGAATGCACTTATCTCAGATTCAGCGTCATCATAACCAAAGCACTGCAATCAATCTTAATAATCCAGAGAGCCAGTCCATGCATTTGGAAACCAGGCTTGTTCAGCTGGACAGTGCTATCAGCATGGAGCTGTGGCAGGTAGGTTACTGGTAGCTGTGCACTCCTCCTTCTACCCCTATGAGTATCCTTAGCTCATATGACTAGGTAATCTGAGGGTTTAAGGTAGTGTGATGGAGCAGGAAAGAGTTTTTATAGCAAGGTTGTATTTTTAGTTCTAATCACTTGTGAAATATGGGCCAAATCATTTAATCTTTTTTAGACCCAATCCCTCTATGAAAAACTGCATTGTAAGTGCTGCTCAAAGTGTAGTTGTGTGAGTGGTGCCAGTCTGTGAGCTGGCTGGCCTGAGGAAAGAAATAGTGAGCAAAAAATGTTGTGAAGGTGAAGGTGTGTTTTAGTTTTTGATACTGGAAATTAATTTCACCACTGAGTTATCACCAACTCCTACAAAGTTTACGTAGCAACTTACTCATAAATTTTGTGTTTAATCTGTTACTAAAGTTGACTTTGTCTTCTCTTTCATTTTTGTAAAGACTGTTGTGTTCTTGAATATTTGTTGGTGATTGTTAATTAAAGCCACACTGTTCTTGTCTGTGGTTAGAGAAGTGCTGATTTGGCTGAAGCAGCATTTGGGGTGGATGCCTTGTGCTAGAGATTACAGTGATATAGACAAACTTTCCTCCTCCTGGCCTTTTTTTCTCATAAGAATCCTGCAAAGACATTTTCACATGATTATGTAGCTCTGTAACATGGTGATTTTTATATTTAACGTAAACTAACTGAAATTACAGGAGATTAGCCTTAAAATTGGCAGAAATGTGATTTTATTTCCTGCTCTTCTTTTTGTGGGGACACTCAAGTTCCTACTGGTAGAGGACAGGTAAGCACGCTCATATTAGGAAAAGTGGATAAGGTCAAAGAAGAAATGTTCACTGTCTCATCACTCAGAAATCACCCGCATTTATTCTATTGTACGTTCTTCTAGATTTTTTTCTTTATATTGTCCCAAGTGATGTAATATGCAAATATTTTCTTAGTCTACTCTGTCTACTTTATAGTATTACCTAAAGAACTTTCAAGAAGTTTTAAAGATAGTATTTTTGTAATTACAGTGGTTTTTCCCAGTAAATTCTAGAGAAATAAAAACCACATGTGAAGGCATTTTACCTGCCACTTGTATTTTATGTATTCTTTTTTAGTTTCAATAAGAGGTTTGAATTATGTTTTTTTGGTTCAAAATGCCCTGATTAATTTGTACTACTAATTTTAGGAAGCCTTCAAAGCTGTGGAAGATATTCATGGCCTATTCTCCTTGTCTAAAAAACCACCTAAGCCTCAGTTGATGGCAAATTACTATAACAAAGTCTCAACTGTGTTTTGGAAATCTGGAAATGCTCTGTTTCATGCATCTACCCTCCATCGCCTTTATCATCTGTCTAGAGAAATGAGGAAGAATCTTACACAAGAGGAGATGCAGAGGTAAGAATGCATAACAATGAAATTAAACTTGTACAAGCTGAATGTTCTAAGCCAGGATTTCTTAGCTTCTGTTCCATTGACATTTTGGATTGAACACTGTCACTATTGTGGAGTGCTGTTAGTGCATGGTAGACTGTTTAGCAGCAGGCTAGCCTGTACCTGTTTAGGTGCCAGTTGCAGTCTCTTTAGTTGTGACCAAAGTGTCTCCCAGTTATTGCTCTTCTTGGAATTTTCTTGCTTTATTTCCATTTTATATATATGTGTTTTGCCTGCATATAAGTGCACCCATGTCATGCAGTGCCCACAGAGACCAGAAGAGGGTGTTGGACCCCTGGATTGGATGATTGTTAGCTGCCCTGTGGGTGCTGACAGGTCCTCTGCCAGTGCTCTTAACCACTAAGCCATCTCTGCAGCCCCCTTTGGAGAGTTTTCTCTCTTTGTTTTTTGGTCTTTTTGAGAGAGGGCCTCCCTGTATCCCTAGCTTACCTGGAACTCACTATGTAGACAAGGCTGGCCTTGAACTCCCAGAGATCCACCTGCCTCTGCTGGGATTAAAGGTGGGCACCACCACGCCTGGCTTGGAGAGTTTTCTCGAGCCATCTTTTTCTTGAATAATGCTACCAGAAACCCAATTGAAAGAATTGTGCATTCACAGAGTTAGTGTTAACATGTGAACCTTCTATCCATGGTATTGGTAGAGTGAATTAGATGATTGAGAAGGTGATTAGTTCCATCAAGTTTTATTCCTCCATGATTGTAAAATACTAACTGTAATATAAAATACTCCTTGACTTGTAATAGGGTTATATCCTGGTAAACCCATTATAAGTTGAAAATACAAGTAAAAAATGCATATTTATACCTGACCTACCAAATAGCAACAATGTAGTACACTGTAGGGTGTCAGTTGTTTACCCTTTGATTGGAGAACTGACTGGGAGCTGGGATGGCTTGCTGCCTGTTCTTTCAGGACTCATACCACTGGTTTGGAAAGAGATAAAAATTTAAAGTTAGGATTTCTACTGTATTTATTTTGCACCATGGTAAAGTCAAACAATTGTAGCTTGAATCATAAAATGGGCAGTACCTATATTTGGGAGCTAGGCGTGTGTACACACAAATTTATAGAATGTGTAACTCAACAACTTGTAGACCATTAAAAGACCTGCAGACCCCTGTATTAAAACTGCAAAAATTCTAACAATCACGTTTAGTTTGTTTCTTTTAGTTGTCTTTTTTTTTTTTTTGGGTCAAGCTACGAATTTAACCCAGTCCCTTGCATAACCCAGGGAGTTCACACTCCATCTTCCTGTTGTTTACCTGAACTGAGTGGTTTTCAGTAGAATTTGTGTTTTAATTTGTTTATAAATGTTTTATAGCAATATATGAAACCAACTAAGTGTTTTTCCTCACACGAATACTGTGATAGTAGTTAGCATCAGGTTATTTACCCCTGTGTATGTTATTTAATACTCAGTTCTTTATCTTTCCTAAGGTCATAGGCTTAGAGACAGTGAAGCTGAGATTTTACTCTTGGGTACAGAACCCCCACCTTCTTACTGTGCTGTAGTGCAGATTTTCTTGTGTGTGTTTCAGGGAAGTGAAAATTTAGTTTTTGTCCTACCATAATTGTGTTCACTTAGAGTTCTCTTTTTAACCATTACTGTTTAATTTTGTGGTTTCTAAAGCTGCCTTAATCATTTTGTAAGGAAGTATGCTTTGCTGTTCGGCCAGTCTTCTTCATAAACAGCAATACTAGATGTCGAGATTGGTTCTCTCCTCTTCTCCCATGCTGTGGTGGGGCAGTTAGTATGAATGAGCTTCACCATGGTATGAGGTACATGTATCCTGTCCCTGGCATGTGATACAGGTGGTTAAAGAGAAGTGCTCTTCTGCCTCTGCTGATCAAGTAACATTTACAGACTCAAGTACAACTTTTTGTTCATCACAGAATGTCTACTAGAGTCCTTTTGGCCACTCTTTCCATCCCTATTACTCCCGAGCGAACCGATATTGCTCGACTTTTGGACATGGATGGCATTATAGTTGAGAAACAGCGACGCCTTGCAACACTGCTAGGTCTTCAAGCCCCACCCACTCGAATTGGCCTTATTAATGATATGGTTAGTATAAATTTGAGCATTTATAGCTTTGGAAAGAACTTTGTGGTAAGCTTAATTCATGATTAGATACTGGGAATTCTGATTATCAAGAGATTTTGATGCATGAACATGGAACTAACCACTGGTATAAATGGATAGCTTGTTGATTTGAGGCAATTGTTTAAAGCAATGGTTGTTTTTTTTTTTTAATATTTCATTTTTATTTTATGTGTATGCGTATATTGCCTGCCTGTAGGTAAGTGCACCTGTGTTGTGCAATGCCTGCAGAGGACAGAAGAGCCCGTCAGATCCCCTGGGACTGGAGTTATAGATAGTTGTTAGCTGCCATGTGGATGCTAGGATTCAAACCTGGGTCTTCTGCAAGAACAGCCAGTGTTCTTAACCGCTGAGCCATCTCTCCAGCCCTAAAGCTGTTTTTGGCTTTTTTTTTTTGTTGTTGTTGTTTTTAAGACAGGGTCTCCTTGTAGCCCTAGTTGTCCTGGAACTCTGTGTAGACCAGGCTGGCCTCGAACTCACAGAGATCCGCCTGCCCCTGCCTGCCTCCCAGATTCCCAAGTGCTGGGACTACAGGCATGCACCACAACGCCCGGCAGCAATGTTTCTTAACCGGGACTTGTGATGAGTTAAGTACACTTTACAGTTATCCTTAGTGTCTGTGTGCTATTGGCTCCATGGACATCAGAGCTGACGGGTGCTCTAGTTCCTAGTCTAAAATGTAGTATTTGCATGCAGTTTATTCATAACCTCATGTAAATTTTAAATATCTTCAGGTTAGTTAGAATACCTATAATATAAATATTGTGTAGTTATGTTGTTTAGGGAATAGTGACAAAAAGTATTTTGTACACATGGCAGGGTTTTTTTTTTTTTTGTCTGAGTGTTATCTAACTATGGTTGGTTGACTGTGTATGTGGAGTCTGAAGGAAGATAAAGGGGGCCATTGCTTAAATGAACACATTAACCTGTTCATAGATACTGAGTTTCCCTGTTTGGGCCTAATAAGAATAGAGCTGTCAGGCCGTTCGTGGTGGCACATGCCTTTAATCCCAGCACTTGGGAGGCAGAGGCAAAGGCAGGCAGATCTCTGTGAGTTCAAGGCTAGCCTGGTCTACATAGTGAGTTCCAGGACAGCTGGGGCTACAGGGAGACCCTGTCTCAAAAAGACAAAGAAAAAAAAAAAAAAGAAAGAAAAAGAAAAGAAAGAGCTGTCCTGGGAATTAGTGTGTGATAATTTGCATAAGAATAATTTGTAAGTTCTCTTACTTTGCCTGAAGTTTTGTGTTGTCCATTGTAGTTGTCTTTGCAAATATCATATGTTGGCTTACAGTTACAGTTTGGATTTTGCTTGGTAAGTTTAAAGAGAATCAAGGCTAGACAATCTTACAATCACTTTCCTAGCTTTCAGTTCTGTGATTTTTAATTTAGTGTCAGCTTAGAATCTCAGCCTGAGAATTTTAAAAAATCGCCATTAGCAGGTAAACTTTATGGCTTTCTTTCTGTAGGTAAGATTCAATGTACTACAGTATGTTGTCCCAGAAGTCAAAGACCTTTACAACTGGTTGGAAGTAGAATTCAACCCACTAAAGCTCTGTGAGAGAGTCACAAAGGTAAGCCTTGTCTTCACCACATTTTGTTACCTTAACCACATGGCCTGCATTGTTGTATGTAGTTAGAGTTGTGTTTGTCTAAAGAGAAGTGCTGTCCTGTATATCAGGAGTGCACATTTCATTGTCTTTTTTTATTTACATCAAGAAAAAGATATTTCTGATGTGCTAAACAAATCATTGGAGGTAAATTAGCAGCATGACTAATTCAGCCATCGCTGTCAGTCACCTTCAGACAGTGTCAGTAGCTTGAGTTATATTTTTATATTGTATGCTGTTTTGCATAGCAAGAAATTGAAAGAATTTGAGATGTTTTAGTGTCTTATATAGAAAATACAGTTTATCTCAATGTAATGGATTTTATTACAGGTACTGAATTGGGTTAGGGAACAACCTGAGAAGGAACCAGAGTTGCAACAGTACGTCCCACAGCTGCAGAACAACACAATACTACGCCTTCTGCAGCAGGTAAAAATACAATGAATGCTTTATGGAAGCCCTGAGATTTCTTCCTTGACTTTGTATTATTATTACTTGAAATGTGTATGTGTTTTGTGTGTGCGCATATATGTGGAGGTCAGAGGTGGATGTTGGGTATGTTTGCTCTATTGTTATCTAAATTTTTGTTTTTTGTCTTTTGGGACAGGGTTTCCTGTAGCCACAGCTGGCCTGGAACTCAGTAATTTTTTGAGACTGTCACTGAACCTGGAGGGTACCAGTTGGCTAGAGTAGCTGGCTGGTGAATTCTGGGGATTTCCCCACCCCCAGTATTATAGTGCCGTGACTCTGTATTCTGATCACAAAACTAAAAACTCAATTTAGAACTGCCTATGAAAGCTACCCCATTTCTACTCCTGCCCAAATGACTCCATTTGTTATTTTGAAACAATTACAGATGCTTCCCCCTTTTTATGTTTTTTTTTCTTCCTGAATGCTTTGTGCGTTGTCCTTGTAAATGGAGGGCTACCTTACTCCTTTTAATACTTTTAATACCCACATGATTTTTCTTAGTTAGAAGGTACTATGGTATAATTATTCAGGTAAATTTTTTTTTTTTTGTCTTTGGTCAAATAATTATTAGAGCATTCCACTAGTGAATGAGTCTTTCCTTTTCTGCTAATACCCTTTATTAATTTTTTTTGTTTGTTTGTTTGTCTTTTGGTCTTTTTGAGACAGGGTCTCCCTGTAGCCCCAGTTGGCCTGGAACTCAGTATGTAGACCAGGCTGGCCTTGAACTCACAGAGATCCACCTGCCTCTGCCTCCCAAGTGCTGGGACTAAGTGCACCACACCCAGCTTGCTGTTAGTTTTTTTTTTTTCAAATCATATTAGTTCAAATTATTGACTAAGGTTGTGTGTTGTAGTTTATAATAGTGGATTTTGTCATTTGGAAACGGGCTCTTCATGCTGTGTGTCTGCACATTTCATTGACCTGCTTTCTTCTATGTGAGCAGTGTTATTTCTTATGTGCTATATAAATAGTTGAAGGTTAATTAGCAGAATACTGCACATAGTAATGCTGCCAGTCCCCTTCACACACAATTTAGGAGTTCTTATATTAACAGGTCTTCTAATAGGTGACCATTTAGTCTTTTAGATTTATGAAACTAGGAATTTAAAAAGTTGTAAGTCTGAGGAATGGGACTGTTCACAACATTTGATTTGGGGTTGATAGCTTGGGCTTGAAATTCCAGTTCCAAAAACACAGGGAAATTGCCTGACCTTCTGTTTTTTCCCTTTTCTGAACGGTGGGCATAATTTGTACTTGCCGTAACTGTCATGAGATTGATTATACATAAAAAGTGCTAAGTGGTAGCCATTGTTGTTAACCCTTTGTTTTTTTTTGTGTAGGTGGCACAGATTTATCAGAGCATTGAGTTTTCTCGTTTGACTTCTCTGGTTCCTTTTGTTGATGCTTTCCAACTGGAACGGGCCATAGTAGATGCAGCCAGGCACTGCGACCTGCAGGTGTGTGCTGTGAGGGGGCGGGGCACTGATGACATGTGGAAGGCCTTTGAGGACTAAAATGACAGAAAACCAATTCTTTGTTTCTCAGCTTTTGTATCTCTAAAATGTTTGCCAAGTAATTTTCATGGTTAACTTTGGCTTGTTAATTTCTTTTCTAAATTCAGTTGACATTTTTTTTAAGCTGTTCATAGAATGACTTCATATTAATACACAGGCCTAACTGCTACAAGTTTAATTTTCATAGGTTCGTATTGATCACACTTCTCGGACTCTGAGTTTTGGATCTGACTTGAATTATGCTACTCGAGAAGATGCCCCGATTGGACCTCATCTGCAGAGTATGCCTTCAGAGCAGATAAGAAATCAGCTTACAGCCATGTCCTCAGTGCTTGCAAAAGCACTTGAAGTCATCAAGCCAGCACATATTTTGGTATGCATCTTGAGGAGAATATGAGCTCAAGTTTTGAGGGAATTCTGTGTCTTTCATAAGACATTTAGGTCCTTGAAAAATGGTTTGGGATGTTTTCTGAGAAAGGCTGTTTATGTGTTTTCTATTAACTGGTAGTTCAGATGCTTTCATCAGACAAACCATTGAAGAACTACCTTTCATAGTATAGAATATATCACATGCGTAATGAAATACTGCAACATGAAACAGGTTGCATATACCACGACCTAGCCACAACCCTCATCCTTCAAGCAGATAGTTGAGTGTTGGTATTCCTTCGTGACTTTAACATTTAAGGTAGAATTGGTGCCAAGATCCAGTAGCCTTGCATAGAGCCGTGTGTTTTAGCTATGTCATTGCTAGTTAGAGCTGAATAACTGTAGTGCCACAGTATTTGGTGCTAATAGAAATGAATAGTTTGGATGACATCATCTCCCATTACTAATGCAAACATTCATAGAAGACCAATGCTTCGAAGTTATTTTACTATTGTTACCAGGGTATTGCTTTTAATAATCTTAAAACTCACATCTGATTTTTGAAGCAAGAGAAAGAAGAACAGCATCAGTTGGCAGTCACTGCATACCTTAAAAATTCACGAAAAGAGCATCAGCGGATCCTGGCTCGGCGACAGACAATTGAGGAAAGAAAGGAACGTCTTGAGAGTCTGAATATCCAGCGAGAGAAAGAAGAGCTGGAGCAGAGGGAGGCTGAACTCCAGAAAGTTCGGAAGGCTGAAGAAGAGAGGCTGCGCCAGGAGGCAAAAGAGAGAGAGAAGGAGCGGATCCTGCAGGAGCATGAGCAAATCAAAAAGAAAACTGTTCGTGAGCGGTTGGAGCAGATCAAGAAGACAGAGCTGGGTGCCAAAGCATTCAAAGATATTGACATCGAAGTATGTAGCACACTATCCGTTAGGAACATCTTTACCTTGAACACCTGTTGGTTAATTGTGATTATTTTGTGTATTTTGTTAAGAGATTGATTCAGTGGTTCAAATCTACAGTCATTTGTTTTCAGTTGCTAGATGTAGTTTATCACAGTGGAGGACTGAGATGATGATGTTAAGATTATTCATCTTTCTCTGCACACTTGGGTGTAAATAAGGATGTTGTACAGTATTTTACATTTTATAGTGAATACCTAAAGATTTGGTTCTACATAGCATGAGCTGTGGTGACTGTTAAACATCTTAAAAATATTGGTAATAACAATGCCGTATATATGCCACCATCCAGGACCTTGAAGAATTGGATCCAGATTTTATCATGGCCAAACAGGTTGAACAACTGGAGAAAGAAAAGAAGGAACTTCAAGAACGCCTGAAGAATCAAGAAAAGAAGGTATGTGAAAGGACCGTTGAAGCTGTTTGAGACAAGGTCTTAGTAACCCTGGCTGGCCTCAAACTGCCATGTAGCTGAGGATGGCCTTATTAAACTTTTGATCTTCCCATCCAGTCTGATTGATGAAGGTTTTTTGTTTTTTTAAAAAAAAGTCTTTGAGACAGGGTCCCTTTGTAGCTCCAGCTGATCTGCTCCCTCCCCCATTAAAGGCGTGCACTACCACTCCTAAGATTGATAAAGTTTTAACATGAGTCATAAAACATACTTTTAAAAACCACTTTTGTTTTCATGTCATTCAGATTGACTATTTTGAAAGAGCTAAACGTTTGGAGGAAATTCCTTTGATAAAGAGTGCTTATGAGGAACAGAGGATTAAAGACATGGATCTGTGGGAGCAGCAGGAAGAAGAGAGAGTAAGCTATTCATTGAATTGTGTTTTAGCTGTAATTCTCTGCCTATAAGGACAAAAGTTTTATTTACATTCTTTGACGAGAAATGGTGCTTGAATGATTGCTTATTAGTAGCTTGGAAAGAGAAACGTTCACAACAGGGATTTTAAATGAAACTAAAATACAGCCTTATGTATACTTTTTTAAAGTGGGTGAATTGTATAGCATATATATAAGGCATGGTTTTTAGTGTTTTATAGAATCAGGCAACTATTACAGCTGCCTTGTAGAACATAGCCTCCAAAGGAACACTGTACCTGCATCAGTTACGCAGCTCCTTCCTATCACTCTTGCTCAGCTCTAGATAGACACTCTGCTTTCTGCCTCTAGATTTACTATTTGGGACGTGCTGTTAAATTAAATCATACTACTTTCTCGTCTTTTGTGATGAAACTGCTGATTCTTTAGTTTTATAGCCTATATGATAAAAAAAAGTTTAAACACACAGGGCCCCAATATGTAATAAATACTGAGATTCTTGTTTAAAAAAATGAACATGCTAGACATACGGCACACCTGTGTGGACCTGTAGCACCTCAGCCTCCCAGGTTGCCTCTGGAGATTCATAGGCCTTGTGTTGTCAGGTCTTCTAGTTTTTAAAAGAGTAAGTTGGAATTTTTGTGATAGTTCTCTTCAGGCTTAAGTATTTAAGCTAAATAGAAGTAAATAGAAAGTACTGTAGCCCAGGTAACACATTGGGACAGTCTGAGGTTTCTGTATTTTCATACAGGGACAGAAGAAAGCCTGACATGATTCTGCCTTTACTTCTAGTACAGTTAAGCATTGTGCCTGGTTACTGTGCCGTTTACTTACTGCATTTTGTCATATATGTTTATACTTGATAAAAAAAAAAATTTGGTAGCCTTGAGACTAAATAAAACCTGCCTCGTGGGAGCTGGAGAGATGATTCAGCAAGATTGTGTGCTAGCATTTGTTTGGAATAAATTGGTAACATGCTTTGGAGATTATTACCCTTGTGCTATATACCTTCAGATTACTACAATGCAGCTCGAACGAGAAAAGGCTCTGGAACATAAAAATCGAATGTCAAGAATGTTGGAAGACAGAGATTTATTTGTGATGCGACTCAAAGCTGCCCGACAGTCAGTTTATGAGGTGAGCTCACTGACTTAAGGAAAAGTTTATTTATGAGCTTTTGGTTTTTGCCCTGAGGATTTTCCCTTAACACAGCGGCACGTTATGTCTTGTGTTAAAGTGTAATGATTATTTAAAATTTCAGTAGGAAGATTTTTTTTTTTTTGGTCAGGGTCTCCCTGTAGCCCCAGCTGTCCTGGAACTCACTATGTAGGCCAGCTTACACTCCAGCTGATTCCAGGTTCCTGCTCTGAGTTCCTACCTTGGGCTCCCTGATGAATTGTGACCTAGGAGATGTGACAAATAAACCGTTTCCTCCCCAAGTTGGTAGTGGTCAGAGTGTTTTGTCACAGCAATGCAGAAGCAAACTAAGACAGTGACCCTGTCTCAAAAAGACCAAAAAAAAAATTTTTTTTTGTTTTTAAATTTCAGATCTTCCTAATGAGGGGCCTGAATAGTGTTAAGAGCACATACGGGTCTTCCGGAGGACTTGAGTTCTATCCCAGAACCTGGAGCAGGCAGCTTAGAGCAGCCTGTGCACTCATGTGCACAACTCCCTCCCATATACACACACACATATAGTTTTAAAAATTATAGAAAATGATTTTAACTAAAAAAAAATTGTAATTTTTAACTAGATTTTTTTTTTTTTTTTGGTCTTTTTGAGACAGGGTCTCCCTGTAGCCCCAGCTGGCCTGGAACTTGCTCTGTAGACCAGGCTGGCCTTGAACTCAAAAGAGATCCCCCTGCCTGTGCCTCCCGAGTGCTGGAATTAAAGGCCTGCAGTACCATGCCCGGCTATAATTTTTATTTTTCTAAAGGCATGTTTCAAAAGGCAAAAGTTGGTTTGTCTCATTTGATACAAGTTTGTTTTGAAGACTGGGTCATGCTCGCTTCACAGATTGACCTTTCTCTCCTCTTCATTCACCTCTTAAAGGTAGGACTACAGGCTCAGGTCCACTCGTAGTTTCATATACTTTGATTTTATTGTTTATTCAGAAATGAAAACTAGATCAAAGATTTTTGGTGTTACTTGGTCATTTGATTTATTATGGAAATAAAATGAGTTACGATTTTTGAGGTGGGGAGAGGAACTGGGACTTGAACCTAATGCCCTGGACAGCTTGGGCAACACTGTGCCACTGATTGATAGCTCCTACACCCAGGGTGTAGATATCAATAATAAAATTTTTTTAAAAATTGAATATGCTGACGAAGCTTCATTAGTCATTGGGGAGTATGCTTTTGTACTTGGTTACTTTGTATGGCTCTCAGGATCTTAGGAACTTAATATTCCTGGTTTGTATCTTTTGAACAAATTTGATATATCTATTTTGTAAATATTCAATTCACAGGAAAAACTGAAACAATTTGAAGAGCGATTAGCAGACGAAAGGCACACTCGCTTGGAAGAGCGGAAGAGGCAGCGGAAAGAAGAACGCAAGATCACCTACTATAGGGAAAAGGAGGAGGAAGAGCAGAGGCGGGCGGAAGAGCAGATGCTGAAAGGTAGTCGTGTAGAGCAGAACTTGACATGGCAGTGCTGCGCATCCTCAGCCTGTGTTCATATACTTAGAAAAATTGATACTTGTTTCCATTTAGATTTTTGCATTCTCTCACTAATGTGTATTGAGGAATGCATGGTTCTGTACCTAGAATTCCAGTATAGCTGAGAGTCTGGTCTTACTCTTAAGTTGTTGTGGTATACTTGTTTGCTTGAGTATCATCTGCCAGCAGCTCATTGCCAACTATTTAAATATCTTTGAAAAAATGTGTATGATAGTTGGGGAGTGCATGTTCCCTGGGACATGTGTGGAGGTCAGAGGACAACTTTGGTTGTGTTTGGTGTTTTTTTTGTTTTATTTTAAAGAGTCTTGCTATTGTAGCCCTGGCTTGCCTGGAACTCTGTCCTCCTGCCTCTACACTGGGATTGAAGGCGGTGCACCGCCACCCTGGCCAGAGAACAACTTTTAGAAGTAGTTTTTTTAAATCTTTATTTGGGTTCTAAGGATCAAACTCAGATGGCCAGGCAAGCAAGTGCTTGTACCTGCTGTGCCATCTGGCAGGCCCTGATATAAAATCTTAGGGTTAGCTCAACAGAAGTGGCCCTAATGCTTAGGGGACAGGTGTGGGTAGGAGTCAAGTTTTTAATAACCTGACAATTTCATAGAGCGAGAAGAAAGAGAGCGTGCTGAGCGAGCAAAACGGGAGGAAGAACTTCGAGAGTATCAGGAGCGGGTCAAGAAACTTGAAGAAGTAGAAAGGAAGAAACGTCAAAGGGAGTTGGAAATTGAAGAAAGAGAACGGCGTAGAGAGGAAGAGAGGAGACTTGGTGATGACCCACTTTCCAGGAAGGCAAGTATAGAGGTCATGCTGGGAATTGGTGGTGGTCTTCAGTACTAGGCACGAGTCCAGGCTCTTTGGTATCTAGTGCCCTATCACTAAACTATCTTCCCAGATCTTATTTGTGTATGGTTTGGCTTAGCTATAGAATCACCAGCAAATTTTCTTGCATAGTGTCTTGGCCTGACCTTCTCTATTTGGCATTCAAAGACCTGTTTGGACTAGCAGTGTCTATTTCGCTTAAGTAGGTCCATCCCAGCCTGATCAGAATGTACTGTAATCAGATGATATTACATGTTTCCAAAACTGACTTGTGTTTCTTTCTCTAATCTCTTGACTTCTTATTGATGATCTGTAACTTAGTCACTGCACTTTGAGTTTATGCCTCCTTTTTTGTCCCTCACATGTAACTGCCATAATTCAGTTTTAATTAGCCTGTGTGTAACTTCCTGGTCTCTTTAATGCAGCATGTATGATCTTTACATCTGTTTTTGGGTTTCTGAGCTTCCTTTGCTTGGTACTCATTACTGAGTGCTGTAGGCAAACATGCTTAGCATGACCTCACCATTTCAGCTGTCACCTGTGCTCCAGTCACTGAGATACTTTTTGCCTTACCATGTATATGGCATCTGCCTGCATGCTATTTTTGCTTGGGCAGTGCTTTGAATTTTGTTTGGGTTATGCCCACTTTGCCCCTTAAACAAGATTTGTTTAGTTTTTTTTGTTTTTTCTTTTTGGTCTTTTTTGAGACAGGGTCTCCCTGTAGTCCCAACTGACCTGAGCTCACTATGTAGATCAGGCTGACCTTGAACTCACAGAGAACCGCCTGCCTCTGCCTTTAGTGCCAGGACTAAAGGCGTGCGCCACCATGCCTGACTGCTTAGTTTGTTTTTTAATTTTTGAGGCAGGACGGGGTCTTATGCAGCCAATGCTGGTTGAGCTTCTGATGCTTTTGGCTCTATGTCCTGTGTGGTGCAATTGCAGATGTGCATTCCCCTGCAACTGTGGAGTCTTTATATTTAGGGTCTTGCAGTTCTTAAAGAAGAATATGTTTGGGAGCTTCAGTAGTTGCAGTCATAACTTGTTACTGTGGTGCCTCTTTGCTGTGTGGGTGCAGGACTCTCGATGGGGAGATAGAGATTCAGAAGGCACGTGGAGAAAAGGACCAGAAGCTGACTCTGAATGGAGGAGAGGCCTGCCAGAGAAGTGAGTGGAATTGGGAACAGCACTCCCCTCCTTCCTTCACCTCCCTCTTGGGAGGGAGGATAATAAGGTGTTTGGAAAGAACCATGAGGAATTCTCTGCAAATTCAAGAGTTAATGAATTGGGGTGGGGAGGGACTACAGATGAATTCCTGATCATCTTGCCTCTACTTCCCAGGGGCTGGAATTGGGATTAAAAGTTTGCACCACCGTACCTGGTTTCAATGTTAATGGAACTTGTTTGTTTATGAGATAGTTTGACTAATGCCTGAGTGGCTTGGAACTCAGAAAGATATGGCTACCTTTGCCTGTGAGTGCTGAGATTAAAGGTGTATGTTACCACACCTCTCCCTTTAAATTTTTTTTCTAGTTTATGTATATTGTTTTGTTTACATGTATATGAGTGTATCACATGTGTGCAGTATCTGAGGAGGCCAGAAGAGGGCATCGGATCCCTTGGAACTGAGGTTTTGGACGGTTTTTAGCTGCCATGTGGGTGCTAGGACTCAAACCCTGGTCCTCTGCAAGAGCAGCCAGTGCACTTAACCACTGAGCCATCTCTTCATCCCTAATGAAGCTTTTTATAATTTCTTTAAACATTGCTCTGGTGACTGACCTGTAAAACTATTGAGAAATACATCCATTATCCCAAACAGTATTGAGTTTAGAGAATAAGAACAAACAATTCCATAGCATTTTTCTAATTAGATTTAACACTTTTATTTATTTTTGTCTTTTTGAGACAGGGTCTCTCTGTAGCCCTGGCTGGCCTGGAACTTGCTATGTAGACCAGGCTAGCCTCGAACTCACAGATATCTGCCTGCCTTTGCCTCCCAAGGGCTGGGATAAAGGCGGGTGCCACCATACCCAGCAGTACTCTTATTTTTTTGGAGACAGGATCTCAGGAGCTCACTGTATAGGCCAGGCTGGTCTCACATCACAGAGGTGTGTCTGAATTAAAGGCATGAACCACTGTGCTTGGCTTTTTGGGGGATGGGGGATGGTATAGAATAGATACTTTTTTTTTTTTTTTTTTTTTTTTTTTGTAGTTCTGGGGCTAAAAGTCAAGGTTGAATGCTAACATAGCAAGCACTCTACCACTGAGCCACCTGCTCAGCCCTTGACCTTTTTTTGAGACAGGGTCTCCCTGTAGCCCCAGCTGTCTGGAACTCACTATGTAGACCAGGCTGGCCTCAAACTCACAAAGATCCACCTGCCTCTGCCTCCCAAGTGCTGGGATTAAAGACGTACGCCACCACACCTGGCATCTTAACCTCTTTTAAAAAAATTTTATGTGTACGTATGTATTGCCTGCATGTAGGTAAGTGCACCTGTGTCGTGCAATGCCCGTGGAGGTTGGATCCCCTGGGACTAGAGTTATAGGTAGTTTTTAGCTGCCATGTGGGTGCTGGGATTCGAACCTGGGTCTTCTGTAAGAACAACCAGTGTTCTTAACCACTGAACCATCTCTCCAGCGCCCAGCCCTTGACCTTTTTACTAGTGATAGATAGGAAAGTGGCTTTAATTTGCATGCAGAAATTGTTTATAGGAAAGCTCATTGTAAAAGATAAAGAAATTGCAGATTCTCTCAGGAAAGTGCAAATAATCGTTTTTAGTCTACTGTCTGCTTATTGATCTATGTCCTAATGGAAGATAACTGAATTTTGTATTTTTGTTTAGAAAATAGTTTTAAATGTCCAAAATTAATGAGGTTAGACTAAATGATCTGTAAGAGTGAGCAAAATAAAGTATTATTTCTCAGTGAAGTCTCTGCTCTTAAAGTTTGGGTATTGTTGCTCTTCAGGGAGTGGAGACGTGGAGAAGCACGGGATGAGGACAGGCCTCATAGGAGAGATGAAGAGCGGCCAAGACGCTTGGGGGATGATGAAGAGAGAGAGTCTTCTCTTAGGCCAGATGATGATCGCATTCCTAGACGTGGCCTGGATGATGACAGAGGCCCTAGACGTGGTCCTGATGAAGATCGCTTCTCTCGTCGAGGAACAGATGATGATCGTCCTTCTTGGCGTAATGCAGACGATGACAGGCCTCCCAGGCGAATTGGTGATGAAGACAGGGGGAGCTGGCGTCATGCAGACGATGACAGACCACCCAGACGAGGACTGGATGATGACAGGCCACCCAGACGAGGACTAGATGATGACAGACCACCCAGACGAGGACTAGATGATGACAGACCACCCAGACGAGGACTAGATGATGACAGACCACCCAGACGAGGACTAGATGATGACAGACCACCCAGACGAGGACTAGATGATGACAGAGGAAGCTGGCGAACAGCAGATGAGGACAGAGGGCCTAGACGTGGGATGGATGAGGACCGGGGGCCGAGGCGAGGAGGTGCTGATGATGAGCGGTCATCCTGGCGTAATGCTGATGAGGACCGGGGTCCCAGGCGGGGCATGGATGATGATCGGGGTCCCAGGCGAGGGTTGGATGATGACCGAGGACCTTGGCGGAGTGCTGATGATGATAGGATTTCCAGGCGTGGTGCAGATGACGACAGGGGGCCTTGGAGAAACATGGATGATGATCGCATTCCCAGACGGGGTGATGATGCAAGACCTGGTCCCTGGAGACCATTTGTCAAGCCAGGTAAGTTCTGATTTCAGAAAATAAGGTGCTTTATGGACTATGCCTGGTATATTTGTTCACATGTAAAAACTGAAATTTTAATGGTTAAATATGATATTTGCTGTATCATAATACTTTCTCTAAGTGGGTCTTTGTCCTTAAATGCCTAAGTAGTAAGTTTTGGATGAAAATGTACTGTCATCAAGTATTTGTCCACCCTCCTGCCCACGGTGGGATCATACCCAGGAGCTCAATTTTGTGTATCTAGTCAATTCTAGGCTTGCTCACCTTTCTCCTGGATGAGTGATACTGACTTGCCTTTCATAAAACTTGTCCCTTTACCTCTTCTCTCCTATGACATAGCTTGTGCTTCTCTGTGGACCACTTTCTCACCTGTGTATGTTAGCAGTTATAGAGTCTCTGCTTTCTCTTTATCCTTTGCATTAAGACTTAGTTCATTTCTGCATTTTAATGGTCCTTAAATCTGCCCAACCTCTGCTTGTCATAAGTCTGGGTTGCCCTCTTTCGAACTCTGGCTCTTGCTTCCTGCCTGGTCTCTGCCATTTTTCCCACTCTTAGTTCTTGTTGGAGTAACCAGAGTAATCTGTTCTGAGTTCAGATCTAATTGAACACCTTTTTTTTTTTCTTAAAAATTTATTTTTATTTTATGTGTATGTGTGTATTGCCTGAGTGTAGGTAAGTGCACCTGTGTCATGCAATGCCCTAGGAGGACAGAAGAGGCTGTTGGATCCCTTGGAACTGGAGTTACAGACAGTTGTTAGCTGCCATGTGGGTGCTGGGATTTGAACTTGGGTCTTCTGCAAGAACAGCCAGTGTTCTTAACCGCTGAACCACCTCTCCAGCCCCTGAACACCTTTGTTTTTACTAGTTGTGATTTCTGTGGCAAACCTTTGTCTTTTCTAGCCGTGACATATTCTACTGTTTGGCTCTGTGACCCTGGACAAATGACTTCCATGACTCATTTAAGCAGGTTTGACAGTATGATAGGTTCTCACAAATTGTGGTTGTTTCATAAAGTTGCCATGAATACTGAGGAATCTAGAGGAAATAACAAAGTTAAGTTCCTTTGAGCTTTCTGTGTTTCTATTTAAAACAGTATGGTACTGATTCAGCATAATGAATCCATGGCCAGCAGTGTGTATAACTCAAACATTTGTCCAAAAGATGCCTTAAGGCACATCACAGCTATCTTGTGCTTGAGGGTGCTGGACCATACTTCATTTTGGGGTTGTTTGGACACTGAAGTCACCAGTGAAAACATGTGAAAAACAGTAAAAAATTAAGTTGACCCAAAAAAGGATACTTTTTATAGTAAGAAAGCTGCAGCTGGGAGGCCAGGTGCTGCCACCTGGTGCTGGAATTGTGTGTCAGAAGACTTTTTTTTTACTGCTCTGAGCTACTGCAAAAGTGCCACAAGTGTTAATGAATCTGTCAATATCAATTGATGGAATTATGGATAGGATTAAACAGTTTAAACAGGATTTAAGTCTGTGTCAAAATTAGGGACTATGGTGATTATAAATACCCCTACAGTGGATTCTTTGCTTCATTAGGCCTCTTGGTGCTTCATGTGTTAGGGTCAGACATTAGAGCTACGCATGAAACACCAGGCAGGATCAAAGCATTTATCCTTGTTTCATAACTAGATGGTAGTGGAAGTGGCACAGCAGAGATCAAGAATGGGAAAGAATTTCTGGGTGATGACATGTTGCAAGATGTAAGCTCATAATTGGGATGCTTGTTTCCAGGACTTTTGAAGCTTTCTGTTTAACTGAGAAGTCTGTTTATAGTTGGAACAGATGTCATACCTGAAATTCTTGCATATAGCAGGAGAAATTCAGTGGTACCTCCATTTTATTGTTGTTTCCTATAGACACGTAACTCAGAAAAACTGTTAATGCAGGCAGTGTGTTGATGGACATGGGCTTTAGTTTGTTGCTTTTTTAAAATGAGGTTAGGAGTGTCTTAAATTTGTGTTTAGGATGATGTTGAATTAATGGCAATGTTAAGATTTCTTCATAAGAGCTGGGGATGAGCTCAGAACACCTGCTTTGTGTGCAAAAGGCCTTGTGTTCATTCAGTCCCCAGGCCACCCCCCCACTCTCTCACCCATTTTCTCCAATGTAAAAAATAATGGCTTCTCTTTAAAAAACAGGTGGATGGAGAGAGAAGGAAAAGGCTAGAGAAGAGAGCTGGGGTCCACCTCGAGAATCAAGACCATCAGAAGACCGTGAATGGGACAGAGACAAAGAGAGGGAGAGAGATGGTCAAGATCGAGAGGAGAATGACAAGGATCCTGAGCGAGACAGGGACCGAGAGAGAGATGGGGATCGGGAGGATCGTTTCAGGAGACCCAGGTGGGAAACTGTAGTGATGGGCTTCTCTTAAACACTTGGCTGATTATTCCAAATTATTTTTGAAGAATAATACTCTAAAACCCTCCCTATCCTGTTTATTGCTTAGGCACACTTAGAGAAGACTAAAAAAATTTTCTCATCATCTAATTGAACATTTCCTCTTAAAGTTAGAAAGTGGGGGCTAAAACTTTTCTCTGCCTATAGTTTGCATAACTAACTGGTAATAGAACCAGTCCAGGTATCTTTCGTCTGCTTCTTAAGGGCAGTCAGCTTTATTATTAAATTACCAGAAGCCCCTTCACTTTGTTTTTGAGAACTCAATTCTTATGCTTTGGTTGAGTGCTAAGAGTTTAAAGACAGTCACAACCTACCTGGCTTTTATTAGTGGTAAAAGTTCTAGTTCCCTCTGCCAGAACGGCCTTGCCACTAGCAAATCTATGCAGCACTGTTTGCTCTGATGTGCTTGAAGGGGAAGTTCTGTCTCTGCTCTCTACTCTAGCATGGCGGCCAACAGTTGCATGTGCACTTGGAATGTGATTTGTACTGCTATGATTTAATAAGCAACCACGTGTGACTATTGTATGCGTTTCTGCACTTGTGTGTAGCAGCGCAGATCTAGCTGTCCTGTGTCCTCTCAGTGCCTGAGGTACCAGATTGACACTGACAGTTTTGTTCTTAGATTGATAAACTTTTGAGCATTGACTTGGGTGTGATACATCACAACTACTCATGTAGTCCCAAGAGCAAGAATGTGTCACTTTAAATGGCTACAGGGATGAAGGTGGCTGGAGAAGAGGCCCAGCTGAGGAATCTTCAAGCTGGAGAGATTCAAGTCGCCGTGATGAGAGGGATGACCGTCGGCGGGAGAGAGATGATCGACGGGATCTGAGAGATCTCAGAGAAAGACGGGATTTAAGAGATGACAGAGACCGCAGAGGACCTCCCCTCAGATCAGAGCGAGAAGAAGGTAGAGACACCTTGGAGGGAATGTTTATTTCAGGGTTGGGCTTTGTGTAATTGTCTTTGAGATTTGTGTGAACACTGAAAATGAGGCAGTTTATTCAATTTAGAACTCTGTTCTCACATACTTGGTGGTCAGGTTGTGAGGTGAGTGCATCTCTAAAGTCGAGTACAGCAGTAGACTAGATTAGGATAAGCAGCATTGACTAATAAAGTGAAGAGCGGCCAATTCTGTGAAGTCTTGGTGGGTTAGCAGAGTGCAGACATCCTGGAAAATTCTTGGAAGGCCTGATGGGATGGCTCAGGCAAAGTCTCTTGCTGCCAAGCCTGATTGATGTCTTGAGTTTGAGACCTGGAACCCACATTGTGGCAAAAGAATTGACTTCCTCAAGTTGTCCTCTGACCTCCACCCACACACACACACAAAAATTTTAATGTACTTCTGATAGAGGTAAAATGCCCAATGTTTATAGTACTTTCCTCACGTGCTTTTAGTAATGTCCCTGTACAACAGCATTATGAGAGTATTAATAGCTGTAACTTAAAATTTCGTATTTTATGGCTCATTTGTTAAAATTCTTAAACAGGTGCCAAAAATCCTACTCAATTTTTATTCAGCCAGATTTTCATCATCCTGTGTTAGGTTTATTAACTCTTAAGATGTTTCCCTGGCCACAGATTTCTGCTTATTTGCAAATTTTCAGTTAGATTTAGAAATTCTTACTCTATCTTAAAGATTTTGTTAGGCTGGGTGTGGTAGATCTCTGTGAGTTCAAGGCCAGCCTGGTCTACATAGTGAGTTCCAGGACAGCTGGGGCTACAGGGAGACCCTGTCTCAAAAACACCAAAAAAAAAAAAAAAAAAAAAAAAACCAACAAAAAAAGATTTTGTCAGAAATGACACAAAACAATTAAAATGTTTGGAACTTATTAATCATTTACTATGGTTCTGTATTGTGAGTTTTCTGAGTAATTTGAGGCAGAGACATTTCTTTGGCCTCAGCTGTGTTTAAACCAATAGAATAGCGGGAGCTCACACATATTGTTTCATTTGAAACTTTCTAGCAAGCTCTTGGAGACGTGCTGATGATAGGAAAGAGGACCGGACAGAAGAGCGAGACCCACCTCGGCGTGTTCCTCCTCCAGCTCTTTCAAGAGATCGAGAGAGAGAGCGAGAGGGTGAGAGAGAGAAGGCTTCCTGGAGGGCTGAGAAAGATAGGGAACCACTTCGTCGTACTAAGAATGAGACCGATGAAGATGGGTGGACCACTGTGCGGCGTTAAGTCCCAAGATGGTGGAGTCGAACTTGTGTCTTGCATAGGTTTGATTGAATTCAAGGATTATTATACTTGTGCTTCAACCAATCTAAATTGGATTCTTTAATGTTGTCTCACCATAACACAAAAAGCATGAACTTGTATTAATCCTATATGATAGATTGATCATGCACCATATCCACACGAGGTTGGAAAACCATGCCATTTTCTGGAATTTAAGGTGTTACATTATTTCATCAATCATTTGTTTACAAGAAAGAAAAACTAAAAAATAAAAATGTGAACACTTTGGGTGTTAATACCTGTATCTTGGTATACAACTGATCTTTTTTCTTTTGATTTTGAAATATCAGATATTAATTTGGAATAAGGTAAGGTTCTGTTAAAACCTTTGAAGACCCTTTAAGCCAGTGGCTCTGAAACAAACTTCCTATCATTAGCAGTTGGGGGACATACCTTGTTAGGTATTCTGAGGTATTTACTGTTTTAAGTTTTCCGGTAAGTGCAGTAAACATTACAGACATTGGCTGCAGTGGGATTTCTGTAGACTTTACATGAGAGAAGGTGAGTATACAGTTCCTACTGTAATGGTGAGACTGCTCAAGGGAGATCCCAAACAGCACAGCTTTGGAGTCCTAGCATCTGATAAACTGTCACTGAGTTTTTTCTGTTGCCAGTAGTAAACTTCTTTCCCATTAATGGAAAATTCATGCCTTTCAAGCATTTTAAATATGAAAATATTTATAAATGTGTGGTTTGGAGGAATTCTTTTTTCCTAATTTTCTTTCTTCAGGATAGACTCTTTCAACGAGTACTTTGTAGTAATGACTGTGTTGACTTCAATTTTGGAGTGTGGTAGCTATGTTAAAGAGTAACTATTTGGTCTTATTGAAGCCAACACAGAACTTGCTGCTGTGTTTTTTTTCTTCAGTGATAAATAAAGTACTTACAGAATTCGTTTTAGTGTTGGTTTGTTAATGGTGGCATATTCAGTATGTTGAGTTTTTTATCAGTGCCATTGAAATGGCCACTGTTCACTGATTTTAAAAAACAGAAAATGTCCTCAACATAAAAGGAGAATGGGGTTAGACTACTTCTGAAGTGCCTGTCATTAATGGAAACACCTTAGTTTCCTTGAAATGTCTTCTGAGGTGAGTCACGTCTTGGGTTTCATCTGGAGTTAGAAAAAAATAGGGTTTCACGGACTGTTCATGAATTTACAGTGGGTGTGTAGGCATTATCAATTGTTTTTGTTATGTAGTGGTAAAAATTTCCTATTGGTACAGCTGTGAGGCCAGAAGAGGAGGGAGTTGATGTCTTTCCTCTTACCAAGTGCTTCAGTTACAAAGATGCTTTTTTTTTTTTTTCCCTTCGGTCTTTTTGAGACAGGGTCTCCCTGTAGCCCCAGCTGTCCTGGAACTATGTAGACCAGGCTGGCCTTGAACTCACAGAGATCTGCCTGCCTCTGTCTCTCGAGTGCTGGGATTAAAGGCCACCACACCCGGCCAAAGATGCTTTTTATCTGGTACTACACATGGAAATCTTCAGTGGGGAAAGGGTTTATTCACTCATAACAAGTGAACTTAAAGATAGTAGTTGTATTTGGGGCACTAACTTGCTATGTGTTTACTAGAAAGCAGAGGCCCTCCATGTGACACCATTCAATCATGTTTACATGTATTACAGATGCCTGTGTAACAGGTTTCAAGGTTATTCTGCAAACCCACCCTTGCATCTTAGCCCATTTTGTAGCACGAGTTCTCTGCATTTCCTTTGTACTGAGAGCAAGCCCAGAGAACAGGGTGAGAGCAGGGGTGTCTGTTTTGTGATCTAGCTGTTGGGTTTCCCTCCCTCTTCCCTTAGCATTAACAGGTTAAAGGAAAGCTGAAAGACCTAAACAGTGATGTACCACGTGATCCGCATGTTCCCAGTGGCTTCCAAAACAGTGTTAAACCAGTAGAGCCATGCTGTTCTTACAGCTGTGCTTGAAGGTGCAGACACGGACTCTTTAGGAGTCTATACCACACTTAGAGTACCTACCAGGAGGTCAGCACCTATGTGTAGGTGTCAAGTGTCACATGGCCAGTAATCCCAGCACTTTTTAGGGTGAGGCAGAAAGGTTAATTTGAGATCAGCCTTGGGTACGCAGACTGAAATACAAAAATATGCACACTTCAAATCTGTGCTTTTTGCAAAGACATTTCGGCTAAGTGATAGAATCTTATGACTGACATGAGACACTGGAGGGATATTCTCATCAAGTGGCTTACACTACAAATTAGGAACACTCCCTTGAAGCATACACATTTGTAATACAGTCTTGAAATGCATAGTTTTGGTTTAATTATAGCTAATGAATGTAATAATCAAAGCTATCCAGTTTCCAAAAAAGGACTTTGTAGGAAAAATAAAGTACAAAAAAGTAAAAAGCCACAAGAAATAACAAGTTAGAACAGAAAAAAGGCTAATACATGATGCAACCTGTGCCTCTGCCCTTGGTAAAGCTTTTACAGGACTCGTACACTTTTGGGGCTTAGGCCAGGGGTGTGTGTATAATATATATGTACAAATATAAACAAAGGACTTGGTATTGTCACACTATTTTACAATTTTGTATTAAACTTTGGGAATAAGTTTTTCTTGGTGTACTACATGCTAGGCAAGTGCTCTCTGAGCTACATACCACAGCTCCAAACTTTGTCATAAACAGTTTGCAAAACTTAAAATTTAACATTGAATTCCAAGATTAGATTAACAAATAGAAAACTAGCAATACACTCTGTTCACGTTGTAAACCAACAGTTTACCCACTTAGCAGGAAATCAGATTTGGCATAGGGTAGAGAATGTGTGGTACAGAAGACTGTGTGCACGTGTGGAGAACTTGGTAGGTGTCCTCAGTTACACTCTTTTGAGATGATCTCAATGAACTGGAAATTCACCAAACCTGGAGCTAGACCTGCTCTGCTGATCAGTGAACCCCAGGGATCCCAAGGATCTTCCTGTCTCTGGCTTCCCAGTGCAGAGACCACAGGTGCTTCTTTGGGGGCACAGAGTGTGAAGCATGTAGAAATCATTGGTCAGCCTCAGGTGTCACATGCTCCTTCAAGAGCAGCCTGCCTAGGTTTTGCTTTTGAGACGGTCTCTATAGCCCCAGCTGATACGGAGCTTGCTATGTAGACCAGGCTAGCCCCAATCTCAGAGACTACCTGCTATTGCCCCTAGTGGTTTTCAAGAAAGGGCTCACCAATGTGGCTAAGCTGGCCTCTGAACTCTCCAGGGCTGTAGGCACACCACACCCAGATTTTAGTGTGGGTGCTGGGGATAGAGCTCATGTTCAGGAGCTTCTCCTCAACCCTAGAGTACTTTGTGTTAATGTAAAGGCTACCCAGTAAATGTGACGGCATTTTCCAGAGCCACCAGTACCATGGCTTCAGACACGCCATGCTTTGCATTAATTCAAATACATAGTTAGCCTTTGGTATCCTGAGTGGATAGTCACACACCTATGCCTTGGAAAGTGCCAAATTTGACGGTAAAAATTCAAAGCAGCTGAATGAATTGATCTTGCTTTTTGGCCTGGAGAATGCACGGATGGGTCACCCCTCTGCGGAGGTACACCGATGGGAAGAGAATGGAATTCATGTTGACTTGAAAACCTCACCACTAACAAGGAACCACACATGGTTTTATTAAGCTACTTAAGTTTAGGCTCAGTCAAATCTGCAATGTGTCTTCCCACCAACCCCATACCCCCCTGTAGGGTGGACCTTCCTTTGACTAAAGAGCTCAGTTACCCAGGAGTTTTACCCTCTGCCTCTATTATACCTAAATTTCTTGGGGGAGGAAGTTAGCTGTTTAACATGAACGCTGTCTAATTCCGAATACCTCAGCTAAATCCGCCTACTGGAAGCTTTATGTACTTAGACCAAATCTCTTGCTGGTACTTTCAGATAGTGTTATTTGTGTTTCTGAGGAGTTCATCTTAATTCACTTGCATCTTTGTCTCTGTGGTCTTGCAGGTAGGTAGCTATATGCAGTAAGTGGAACATTGTGAAGGATTTTTTTACAACAAATACCAGAAGGTGTGCGGCAGGAACTTTGGCCTGAAGGTCAGGTTTCATCTTGCTGGTGAGGTTCTGGAAGCAGACAGGGTCTCCCAGTAAGAGGGGCAACACCAGGGAGAGTGTGTTGAACCCAAAAGTTACTGCCTTTCAGTGGTTTATTCTGGCGTACCTTCTACATGCCTGGAGCCAGACAGCACAGAGTGGAACCTTCCTGAACTTGGGTTATTATGTTGTATTGTTAGCTTCCCATTTTCTATTTAGGAACCCTGAAATTGAACATCCAGGGAGCTAACACTGCTCTTGATTTTCTTTTTGAGGAGCGTCAAACATTTGTAAAGAACTGGAACACGGGGTGCATGGAAGAAAATGCCAAAGCGGGGTTACAGGAGAGATTAATGAATTCATATACTGTTAACTGCATAAATACATAAGTCTCTTAAACAGCACCATTTCCAAGTGTATACACGATATAATTATGACTTGGCACAATTTTAATGGTGAGAAAGGCTACTTGCTAGTTCGGTAGAATATCTGGTACGTAAAAGGATGAGGAACTGTAACTGTATCCTACCTACTACAAAATGTGCCTTTACCTCCAGCTAGTACAGAAACAAGCCACAAGGAGAGAACACCCTCCCAAATTAAAACCCCAAAGTGTACTAAACCTCCACTTCTAACGCTGAGGCTACCAGAGGCTTGCTTTACCTGTAATTAGAAAGGACAACTAAAAATGTCAATTGCATCAAACAATAAAAGTCACTTTGTCGACAGTCCGTAAAATCGCCACTTTTAAGTTCAGTTCAGAAGCTATTAAAAATATTCTAGACCTGGTAAAGTGCCTCCATTCATAAAACGAAACATCCAAGGTTAGAGACCGTTTCGTGCTGACGCGCACCTAAAATAGGTCGACGTACACAGTAAACAAACAGCGCCTCTCAGCCGCCACACTCCAGCTAGTGGAACACACGCACGACCCTCGCCGATGCGGATGTGCGCAAACTAGAAACCAGAGACAAAAATTAAGGTTGCAGCGTTGAGACTCAGCCGCTCCGCGGGAAAGTGCTCCGCCTCCCCGGCTTCTGCAAAACCACGACTACCCCCAGGCTGATCTCCAGGCCTCCCCACAGCCGGGGGAAGGGGCGGCCCGGACCCTGGCAGCCGTCGGGGGCCGGGCCCTCAGCGCAGCTTCTTGCCCGCTAGGCTGTCCCTGGCGCTGCGCGGCGGCGGCACTTTGGAGAGCGGGCAGTACTTGATGGTGTGCGCGTTGTCGCCGCTGGCGCCGCACAGGGGGCACGTGTAGCGCCGCAGGACCGGGCACAGCACCCGGCCGTCGGGGCCCTTGAGGATGTGCGTGGTGTAGAGCGCCACCGCCTCCTTGTTGTTCCGGCAGAACACGCACACCTGCAGCTCGGGCTTGAGCCGAGCCGAGGTCGCCTGCAGCCGCGGCTCGGCCGCCCACGCGGGGCCCCGCTCCTCTCGCGGCGTCACCTCGGCGGCGGGCGCGCAGCTCAGCAGCACGGCGG